GTTGACGAGTACGTTTACCTGGGACAAATAGTCCGACTAGGTAAGTCCAACTTCGACCGAGAGGTCAATCGACGGATTCAACTCGGCTGGGCAGCGTTCGGGAAATTACGACACGTCTTCTCGTCAGGTATACCTCAATCTCTAAAAACTAGATTGTACAACCAGTGCGTGTTGCCAGTGATGACTTACGGATCTGAGACGTGGTCCTTCACTGCTGGCCGTATGAGGACGCTCAAGGTCGCTCAGCGAGCTATGGAGAGGGCTATGCTCGGAGTTTCTCTGCGTGATAGACTCAGAAATGAGGATATCCGCAGTAAAACCAGAGTGACCGACATAGCCCAACGGATTAGTAAGCTGAAGTGGCAATGGGCCGGCCATATAGCGCGAAGAACCGATAACCGATGGGGAAGAAAGGTTCTCGAGTGGCAGTCTCGTACCGGAAGGCGTAGTGTAGGGCGACCCCCCACTAGATGGAGTGACGACCTGGTAAGATATGCAGGAAGTCGATGGATGCAGGTGGCTCAGGACCGTGCTTTGTGGCATTACTTGGGGGAGGCCTATGTTCAGCAGTGGACTTGTGAAGGGCTGTAATGATGATGATGAATGATGATATTACAATGGAAAACGTGTGAACATTTCATTCTCAGGAAGCAAAATTTAATACCGACTATGTCGAAGAACTAACTCTTGCCATTAATTTTAAAACCGCCTTCCACATTATTGATATTTATTTCACTCCGAATTTTTTTTATTACGCAGAATCCACGAAACTAATCTGAAGAAACAGGGTCTGCTCCCCCTCACGTTCGCAAACGCGGCCGACTATGACAAGATCCGCCCGGACGACAAAATCTCGCTGCTGGGCCTTAAAGACCTCGCACCTGGCAAGGTAATCTAACCTTCACTTTTTTTCAACTTGAATTACATTTATTTTTATTAATGTGATGATTTGTTGTTTGACATGCGAAAATTTAAAAAAATACTACACTCTAGTGGACTATTGTATTTCCTTAGTCAAAAGTATCTTCATGATTCATCCAGGGTAATTAGTAAATTTAAAGTTTTATATAGTAAATAGACCCTAATAATTCAATAGAATTGTTTTATTCATGAAATTAGTTTTTATTTTAATAAATGTGATGATTTGTTGTTTGACATGTGAAAATTAAAAAAAAAAATACTACACTCTAGTGGACTATATTGTATTTCCTTAGTCAAAAGTATCTTCATGATTCATTCAGGGTAATTAGTAAATTTAGAGGTTTATATAGTAAATAGACCCTAATAATTCAATACAATTGTTTTATTCATGAAATTAGGAATCTAGGTATTTAAGGGGTCTAATAAACTTTCGAGTTATGGTCCAAAAGTTGTATGAATTGGTTCGTGTAATTTTACACGCTGGAGTTGTGGGTGGGGTGGGGGTTTCTAAAAGTTGCTTGAAATGGTGTTCATGTAATTTTTTGCCAGTGGGTCACCTTTTTCTTTTCCGTAATTGGCTTATACTGCCTTGTATCTAAGATATAATTTTGTAAAATATTATTACTATTTACAATTGTACTGCCTCGTGCTAGCGGTAGTAGTAGTGCAACTGCTGATCATGAGGTCCTGAGTTCGAATCCCGGGTCCAAGAAATTCCCAGTAGCTGCCCGGAGTCAGGAAGTTGGCGGTGTCTCACCCCCGTGCCTCTGAAAGCACGTAAAGCCGTTGGTCCTGCGCCTGATCTCTCTTCGGTCGTGTCGGTTTACCCCGTCCCATCGGATTGTGAGAGTGAGGGAATAGAGAGTGCACCTGTGCTTGCGCATACACTTGGGCACTATAATCCTGTCCTGCGCCGTTGGCTAGCCTCCGTTGAGGCAGGCCGCCGTGGCCGAAATTCGGTCTGGATGACATTGTTATTACAATTACAGCCTAAGTTCATTACTAAAAAATATAGGCCTCCTTCACTATTTGCATCATATGGGAGATATTTGCCATAGTTGCTACGCTTGGCAAGCGGAGTAGCAACAGTAGTTTTAAAAATGTTGCTGACCATCTTTTAGTTTATTGATGTTGATTTAGATTCCTCTGTAAAAATATATTTAGTATTTATATTATTGATGCTTCATTAAATATTCCCTTTTTGTTTATAGCCCGTCGATTGCGAAATCAAGCACAAAGATGGCAGTGTGGAGCGCATCAAACTTAATCACTCTTTGAACGAACAACAAATTTCCTGGTTCAAAGCTGGTTCAGCACTGAACAGGATGAAGGAAATCGCTGCCGGCAAGTGAAGGCTTGCAGAACAACCATAGATCATACGTGTACTGGATTTAATTTGTAGAAATTTTTTTATGACCCATAGACAACTAAGATATTTTTAAAAGATACTCTCCAAGAGCAATTAACAGTATACGTACTGTTATAACTTAGTTGAACCAGTTTTCCTGTCATATCGCATTTCGATACTCAATGTTCGGACAATACATAGCTGCGATAATGATTCTTGTTGATAGTTTGTAGTACAAAAAATATTTAAAACTAGTGAATGAAATCAAAATCATTTCTTTTTACCATTTTGTATGTTGTTAATGATTTCTTTTAGTTTATTATTATTTATGTAAATACCAATATTTACCAACTATAAATAAAATTATGAAGTTAATACCTTGTTTTTCATTCTTTGTTTTGTTTTACTAAAAGTATAAGGGGCTTGTGGGCTACAACTGCCACTTTAAGGGTAAGTTTAAGATTAAATCACAGTTTAAAGAGAGTAACAGTTGTGAAACGAATGTACACTTGTGCAGAGCAACGGCGCACTCACACCGTACAACACATGCGGTTGACGCGAGGGTGCTTTAATGTGTTATATTATAAGTGTATGTGTTAAATTTTAAGTGCAGTTTTCGAAGAACATAATACCTATAATGATGAATTACTGTTATAGTTATGAGTTACTGAGTAAAGTTGAATGCAAAAGAGGGCCATGCTTATGTTTCCCTTATGTTTTTTTTTTATAAAATTGTTTATCCGAATGCCAGTACACTACAAAATAAATTTAACAATCGTAAACTGTTAAAATTTTGTAAAAAGAAAGTGTCGCGTAAATATTTGGCAGTGCAACACTTGCAAATGTATTTTTCTTGTAGTAGTAAAAATGATTGTTCAATAAATGTTTTTAACTTATATGCACATAATGTTCATTAAATGATAATGAGTATTATAATATTCAAAATTACTTTATTCCCAATTTCGTGACACCCTCTAACATATTAGCGTCGGTAAATAACATCACCTGAAATCAAAAGCGTTTCACAGCTGTCGGCTATTTAAATCTTTCTAACAATACATATACATATCACATAACCACGCTCCACTGCTTGCCAGAGGGTAGCCCTTTACTTTGTTACTGGACGCAAAAAGAAAAAGCAGGAAACTAACAATTTCTTTTCTGACCAATTTTTAACATAGACTTGGCGTAACAGAATCCATTAGGTACATGTCTGCGCGTAAGAGGTAAGAATACTCGAGGCCTTCGATAGGTTGTGGTAGAATTATCTCATGCATGGCAAATTTAAATTACTCAGGTCATGAGAAGCAGCGTCAAATGTACGATTTGCGTGGGGTTAACCAAGACATATAATATATTGCTGCAACGGGCGTACCAATAGGTGTTTGCGGTGCCGACAATGAACCTAGGATCAAATAAATAATGGACTAAACATTTTTATCGCAGCTCTTTACCTTATATATTTTATCGTATACTAATGAACCTTTTCCTAGTAGCAATGGTTACACGCATCACTGGTAGCCCATGCGCGTAAGTATTTGATTACTGTATATAATATATAAATATTTGATTTTAGTCTCTGATTGCGAAGATGCCAACCTTGTGGAGGTCATCACCACCAAAACGGAAACTGCCTGACCACAAAACAAGATACTTTCCAGGATATTTCTTAAAAATGTACCGATCACTTTCTAAAGTTAAGATCATGATCTAGCAAATGTACATTTTTGCTTACACGCATCCATTTGCATTAATTAACTTTTATGTAATGATCAGATTCACTGATCGTTCATTAGTTGATGGTAATGCACAAACATCGTTACTGTAAATTATTGTGATATAAGCAGGTAACTAACTTCTTGAGTGTACGGAATCATAACTAAACCATGCAGTTAGGGTGATGAGATATTCTCGAAACTCAACTTTTGGTGCTCCAATACTAAATCAGGCGCTATCAAAAAATTAAGTTTCCATGCTAAGATGAGGCGGTACTTTATGTCGGAACAGCTTCTAATGTTTATAAAGCGCCGAGAGTCCAGTCACTATAAAGAAATGTGTGGTGGTGATAATATATAGCTGCAAAGCCACACTTTGTTGTTTTCTTTTTGCTTTCTTTAGATGTCTTTAAAGAGTGCCAGCCAATGATTTTGACCATCTATGGCTACATTACCACTTATCATCAGGACTGTAGTCAGGTTCAAGATTTTACATATTCAATCAATCAATGTTAAAAAAATTATATTAATGGGAAAGGTCAAATTAACAACCCACTTTTAGCTTTTATACGTGATAGAGCCATGCTGCAATTATATTAGTAGTATAGTTGTAGCACGAATGGGTCGGCTCGACCAGAGAAGGACCACGCTCTCACAGAATACCAGCGTGAAATAGTAGCTTAATGCTGCTGTATTTCTTATGGTGAGTATAGAGAACCGGAGACCCTTTTTACTGGAAATGAGGCATTCCATCTTAGTCCTCACGGGTGACAACGCATCTGCATTTTGATTTGTAATGGAAGATAGATGTAGATGTCTATGGGCCGCAGCAACCACTTACCATCAGGTGGACTGTGTGCTCGTTTGTCACCCTATCCTATTAAAAAAAAAAAAAAAAAAAAAACAAAAAAAAAAGCTTTTTGAAGTTGGTTAAAATCACCCCACTTATAAATGTTAATTTGAATAAATCAAAAATGTAATACAAGTAGTGTAAAACTATTTTATTTAGCAACAGTTTAATCTTCATTGTCTTCATTATCGCTGTCTGCATTGATGTTGAAATAGCGTAGTTCATATGCATCATGAGCAGATGCAACCACACGGAGCCAGTCTCGCAGGTTGTTCTTCTTTAGGTATCGCTTTGTTAAATATTTAAGGTACCTTTTAGAGAAGGGAATGTCTGAAACAATATAAGAGCATTGTTGTCTTTAAAATGTAAAATATTGTCTATGCTTTAATTGCTTACAGCTAAGCTTTTGTTATTTATTTTAATAATTAAATCCATTAACGTTTTTATGAAATCAAAACACTTTTTTGAGCCTAAATTTAACAACCTGATACCTTTGAAAGAAGAGTAGGATGGGGGATTAAAATTACCTCCTTAAGCTACCATCCCATTCCTTCCCACAGAAATGTATAATTTTTAAATAACCTGTATTTTTTTAATTGAAATCATAACCTCAATTTTGTGCCTAATAAAGCATGTTATTTCTAAAAATTACTTTGTATGCTGTTTTCTATGTCACTGAAACAGTGTTATCTAAGTGAAAAATATGAATGCACATATCAAGTATGATATGAGTGAGAGTTGGTTATGGTGCAGCTAAGGGTGTAGCATATTTTTGTGTATAACAAATGTCTGCAGCTTTGGGATGGCTCAAGGGCACCTTCAGCCACAGTTTAGGCTACTTGCTACTGATTGAAATGTCAAATATATTTTGATATAGTCAAACATAATGATTTTTTATTTTATGTGGTTGTGATTGTGATCTCTGAAAATTACATTGGAAATGGGTACTATCATCTGCATCACTGAAATTTTAACAATCATTGTAATGTTAACTCTAACAATCTGACAGTAGTATCAAGCATGCACTTTGTTGATAACAGTTAGTTGGGGCATTGCATGATCATGCAATTCAAGTATTACATTACTTGAAAAATGCATGAAAAGATTAATTGCATCAATGTTCATATCTTTAGCCGGTTGAAGTTTCGAGCACTGACAATAATTAACAGATGCAGTCAGTCACTGAACATCAATAAGACATGTAATCTTAACCATGAAACACAAGCCTTTTTCTATACATGCACTATTACTTTTTTTATAATCCTAGGATACCCTATTTTAGGTTATGTGAACAAGATAAAAATAATTAGCAAATAAATGACTGTATGACTGTACCTGCACTGACGGCAACTTTTGTCTTGTCTCTAGCGACAACAACGTGATTTCCTAGGTTATTCGTTTTACCCTCAACTTTAACATGCTCTTTCAGATATTTCTCGAAGTTACCGACGTCCAAGATACTGTCCTCAGCAGGATGTGTGCAGTCGATAGTGAACTTCAAGTTAATTTTTCTTTTCATACCCTTGCCGCGGATTTTGCCACCCTTGACTCCCTTCTTACCAGTTTTTTGGTGTAATTGAGCCTTTTTAGGGGCGGGTTTCTTTGTAACCGCCATTTTAACGACCTGAAACGTAAATATACCATTTTTAACACAATCCGACGGATATCTAAAATAATATTTCACAGTTTAATATATTTTCAATAAATAACCTACAGAACACGTGTAATAGCTTTCGTGAAACCTGCAAAATGGCCGATTTGACATATAACAAGTACCATAAAGTTGTTGAAGCCAATCAAGAAGACAAAGATCTTAAACCATACAGTCTAGTCTGACATTTCTTTTACAAAATTCAACATACGTTATGCTGATGTGTAACGTAAATGTAGCGCAGTTTTTATGAAATTTGGGCAACTGCTTTACATAGCAGACTATTGATGGCGAAAGTTATATCACTCGTAGTCACTAAGACTTCACCAGCGTAGATATTTAATACATGAAGCTGCACCACTTTTACATACTGTTACGAGCTTGAGGTTCGTGACAATAAAAATTGCCGATAGAATTACCTAAATTAACACTTTAATTGTCTTTACACCAATTAAAACTTAAAACACTAATAATTAATCACACTGATTCACTTTATTCCGCTCCGAAGCTTCGCTTGTCTCGCCAACTTCAATACTTCCCCGATCGCATCTTGCAGCGCCTATTTATATAAATTAGCACAGAAATATCCAGAATATTCAAGTAAACACGCGCAAGGTACCGAGAGTTTGAGTTTCAACTAGGCGCTAGTGCCGTCGACTAAGGCGCGTAACAATACTATCAAAATTCTCGTCAAACCATTATTCAATGATAATACAAGAGCAGCAATTAGCCGGCATTCAAATTTACGCTGAAATTCGTACCATAAAGTTGTTGAGATGTTGTTACGATTCCTCAAATAAAGCAGGCAAAGGTACTAAAGTCCGGACGCGAAGAAGGAAGAATTTCGTACGTTAACCTGTTATTATTTGTCTCTGTCACTCTCGCGTAAATATAATGCATCGCACTCGCACAGATGCAATGGCTGCCGTCCATTGTTTTAAACTTTACTGTACTGTAAAGTTTGTTTTTCTTTGCATGTCGGTTTTGGTTTGCCTTGAGGCATGACCAAAAATCCTTCGCTTGCTTGACATAATTAATAATTTTTAAATAATGAACAAACGACATTCCATCGCTCAGTTTTCGAACACAGTTATCTATTCTTAGTTTGTTGTTGTTTGTTATTGTTATCTTGTTTTAATTGTTAACTGGTTTTGTTAAGTTTAATCTGCCAAATTAGTAATTGGAACTCGATTTTTAACTGTTTTTATATTAAATCAAAATAAATATTTTTATAAGTAACACCAATAATTTAATTAATAGGTTAGTAAATTTATTTTTATCTCCTTCAATTATTTCATAAAAACTACACTAAACACAAACATGTTTGAGGCAAAGAGGTAATTGTATGAAATTTTTTCTGCTTCGCGACTGGACTATATAAAGCAACAAATATTTCATACATTGTTATTTCACACACGTTTTTATCTGACACGTTTTTATCTGAGTAGGCTCAATAGCATGTTGGGCCGACACAGTAAAATGTCCCTTAGAAACAAGCGTACCCTTTATAAGGTCTGTATATGACCAGTCATGTCCTACGCGGGCCCCGTTTTTGCCTACGCCGACCCTAAAATTATTAATGAACTCCAAATAGTTCAAAACCTTTTCTGTCGTCTAGCTGCGAACGCACCTTGGTACGTCCGTAATGCCGACCTTCATCGGGACCTAGAGCTCCCCACAATTCAACGATTTCTCAAAAAACTCTCTCGAGAACTTCTTCAAAGCCTCAGAGTCGCACTCGAACCATTTAATTCGTGAGGCAGCTACTTATACAGCCCCAACCCCCTCTCGCTATCGAGTCCGCAGGCCGAGAAACTCTCTCTCGGACCCGCCTAATAAACTAACAAACGACCTGAACTGCCTCCTGGCGGCCCAGGCCAACTCTAATTAAATTAAATTATTACTCATAATTAATTTGCCTTCGTAGGCACTCCCCAGCGCTCGTACGCCTGCGCCCTCTTTTTCCCAAAAGAGGGTCGCTCATGATAAGGCACAATAAAGCTTCATCAGCCGGTTGCCTGTCCCCAAAGGCGGTTTTTAGAGGGTATCCCTTAGGGTCCCCGGTAGGATGTGAGTCCCTCATAACCACGATAGACCGGCTATCGTGGTATGCGTAATGCATTTTCCGCCTCCCTACGTATAGGGTAGCCCTTTAATTGCTTCGGGCGCAAAAAAAAATCATACATTGTATAAAATGTATAAAATAATTGGCATGTGTTTACACTTACCGGCACCGGCACCAGTGCCTACACGGCGATGCATCGGTGATGACTCCCACTGGTGCTGTCGCCGGTGCTGGGACAGCAAGCTTCCCACTTGGTGCCGGCAGATAAAACTGTAGTCGAAAATGATTGAGATTGACTTCTGAAATAATGAAATGTCTTCTCTTCGTTCTCTTCGTTCATGCGGAAGTAATTGAAATATTTTTTGAAGTCCATTTTTAACTTTTAAAAAAGGGTATAATATGTTAGCGGCTCAATCGCACACGCAAGAACCGAAAAACTAACCTTTTTTTAAAAAAAAACCCACCCCCCCTTACCAAGTAGACTTTACAATCAAAAAATTTTTAAAATTTAAAAAATAAATAAAAAAGAAAAGAAAAAAAAAAAAAAAATAATATATTCCTTCTCAATATCTTATTTTTAAGATTAAATGAATTCAAAATATGATTTCTTTGTGTTGATTATATTTTCGTGTCAAATGTAAGAGATAACAAATAAATACGAAGACTTGACGATACCATTTGTTGTAGAACAGAAGTCTGTGTTGTTACTGCCCAAAAACCGAGCGTAGATCGGCACCGGTACCGGCCCAATGAAAAACGAGGCTCCGGCACCGCCACTGTGCCGGTGCCGTGCCGGCGAATGGAAAAGCGCCCATTAGCAGACATGAGAATATGAAATTATGCAGAAACGAAAGACGTGAGCATGACTCACACTCACATTTAAGTTTCTAACACCACAGATTAAAAAATACTTAGCAAGCTTTCTAACACTAAGCAATTTTTTGGGGCGTTGCTTCAACTACGTAGATTAGAGGTATATAGAGTAAATTTTGTTAAAATATAATTGATTACGTGCTCATCCACTCGAAGATACGTTTTATAATAATTTGTATCTTTTACTCTCCATACTACGTGTAAAGCATTGTGAATCGTCCTACCCAAATACGTCCGCTTCTTTTATTACTACTCTCCAATACAATCTTGTTTTCTTTTTTGTTTGAGTTATAATGATAACGGTGGAAAAGCGGGTCAATAAACCTGACTAAAACCAGGACTAGGGCAATTATTTAGAATAAAAGTCACTGCACTAAAGAAATATAATCATAGGTGTATAAAGGAATATTGACTTACATACTGAGAATCTGAAAAGAATAACTTAAGTTTATATAACTGGTATATCATCGTTTATATTGAGCATGCACCTGTATTTAATTAAAAATCTATTGATACAGTTTCATGGTTATTACATTTTTGGGATAGAAAGAAACTTAAAAATAGATATGTTTTAATGAACCTAACAAAACTGCAAAAGTTTTTACTAATTTACAATCGTGCTTCGAGTACGTCCGTTGTTTCAAATATGACTAAGGAATAACATTTCCCATGATGAATGCATTCCCATGGATTAACTTCGAGGTCAATTTTTTTATCTATTATGATGTAATGCTTGACCTTGATTTTAAAGATTTCCGCTTGAGTTTTGACCAGTAGTAGGCATAGATAATATATTGGAGAAAAGTATAATACTAGGTGAAATTATATTCCAGCTCCAACTGTGATTGTTACTTTGTAGTAGCAGTTTCAGTAGGCTGTTCCAAAATAACAGAGTTTTGGCGGAATTTTTTTCTCTTTAATTTTTTTTCTTTTCAGTAGAATATTTTACTACTGTTCCCGTTTTTTTGCATCGTGTAACTCCTTTAGTAATTATACTGCTTATTACTGTAATACTTGTACACAGTAACCTAGTTAATACTAAGAAAATATGTGTCTTAGTTACTTGAATAAAGGAATTCTTCTTTACTAGCTTTAAATAAATGTTAATTAATAAATGTACACCAAAAATTGCAGTCCATAATGGCCACAGAATACAAAAACATATTAAGCCTTTTATTAAGCCTTTTTTCCTAACAAATTAACTTCCCTGATCCGTCCAATAATTCACTTCATTCCTAAGCGGCACCTCCCTAGTGAACAGTTATTTTTCAAACCTATTTTGTTCCTATTGCGATTAATACACCGCACTCCATAGTCACAACCACATGCAAAAAAAAACTTTAAATTACCGAACCTTCATAAGAAAAAAGACACGCTTAGCCGTTAGATATCGCAGAGTATACTTCACCAGAGGATACCTCTTTTAGAGGTATAGGATACCTCTTTTAGAGGTATCCTCTCCATGTGTCGTATTACCACCGGTACTGGAATTAGTAGTGACGAGGAGTGCTTGCAACTGAGGAAGGGCGGGAGGTGCTTTTCAAACTAGATAAGATTCATCATTTTATGTTATTACGTAGATCTTAGATAATTAATCTTTTAAATCGTTAATATAATGGAGTTGCGCAAAGTAACAACTGATTCTATTATTAATAGTAAAATAGTGTCAATAGAGGACAGTTATATACTAAAATATTTGCATAATATCATAGAAACAGCTGTGCAGGGTACAGTATTATTAACTGCAAGTGCCGTAAAGATACTTATTCACATTTAACAGATCACATCTATACTAGGTAGCTAGGTAAATATATTTTTGGAGTCACTGTTCCTACTATACTCTTTGGCCATAGTATTTGACTTTGTCATAATCGATTCTTGAATATGCATATATTTTAAATCTAATAGGATTTAATTTTAATTTTTAACCTCATTACATATCTACTAAGAACATTACCTCGATAAAGGTGAATTCGAGAAGTTTTAGCAAAACGTGTAAACAGAATTTTGAACTTTTATAAGTGAAATAATAGTGCGTGCCATGAGAAGAATATGTTTTTATTCTTCAAAAAAATCCTGATGACAGTTACTCAGTTTTACAGTTCGGAATTTAATCGATAAAAATGATGGAAACGGCTAAAAGATAAATGATAATAAGATGGATAAATGTTTTGTTGCCTGCGGCTGTGATGATCAAGAAGGAGTAACAACAGGCGATTTAGATCGCTTTACCGATAAAATTGAAAATGTCTTGAATGATGAAAAAGGGAGGCGACTTTTTAGAAATTTTATGTTTACTACAAAGATGAATGACGGTCGAAGAACTTTAGATTTTTTAGAACATATTGAACGATTACTCAGTTATTCAGATGATGCTGCAAGTGCGTCATACCGTAATTACCTCAGGGATTATGATCGTTTAATGGACGAAGCAGAACGGATAGAAGAGTTGGATTTTGCTACAATGGAACGACTAGCTATTGCCCGTGACTCTGAAAATAAGGAAGATATGATAGATGTATTGAAATTAGTAAAAGTTGAAGCTATTAAAGCACTGCGAAGAGAATATAATGCTTTTAGAAGACACTTTATCCCATCTAAATAGATGTCTTTAAGAAATACAGTGCCTTGCTTTGATGAACTGTTCTAACAAATGGTTACAACTTACAGTGCTTAGTTTTTAAACAGACTTAAAATGAATTTGAAATTGTTTTGTTATTGTTATTATTATACCAGAGATTAATATATTACTAGATGTTTATTAAAAGAAGTGTGAATTTCGTCCTGATAATGTGATCATGTTTTTATTTATGAAGTATAGAAATATACTTGCATGCAATAACTTATTTTTGTTTACAATGTCCATATGTAAAATAAATTTTTTATTTTATTCACACTTATTGTTTTATTATCTACTCCAGTTTTCTACCCCACAAAGCTGGAAGTCCCGTTAAATTACTTTAGTACTTCATTTTTCTGCTAGATCATGATAATCACCATATCTTCTGATAATTTCCAAATATACTTACTTTTATTAACTTATTTTTACTTAAAATGACCTGAATGATGTGTTAAATATTTTTTACAGTATTCGCTTGTGTTTTATCATCTATGTCAGTTTTACCCCATACAGATTGTTTTCTCTTTCTCTCTCTCACAAGATCATGGCAATTACTGATAACTTCCAAATACTATCAGAAGCTACTAACTGTGCAACAGATATAGACGTTCCAGGTTGTGATAAAATTAGGTAGATTGGAGTGAGGCAAATTATTTGTTTTAGCATTGATATCCTCATTGAAATCTGTCATCCAAATGTGTTGCCAAAATGCTAACATTAAAGTAATACTATTTGATGTAGGTATGAGAATCATAAGTGGTGGATAGAACTTCATATAAACAGCATAAAAATAAAACTATTATTTACGGATTTTATCGCGTTTAATTACTTTAATTTATTTTTATTATTATCCCGACGTTTCAGGTGCTTTACAGCGCCCATGGTCACGGGGGACTGAGATGTTTGACGTCCCAATGTCATAGTTAGTCCGGCTACCTTCAGTTTTTAATATTAATTTTTGGTCCGATTTACGCAAAACGAGCTTATAGTATCATGAAGTCTTGCAGTGGTATGCTTGGGTTTGGGTTTAATTTTGTTAATTATAGGATCCCAAGCAGATGGTAGCACCCAACCATCTTCTCTATTGAAATTTGGATGTTTTTTAATTTCAATAGCCTCGCGTATCATCCTTGGTAGGAATCGGTGTTCTTTTGCGAGAATTTGTGGTTTATCAAATCTAATGTAATGGTGGGGACGATCTTGAACATGTTCGCAGACTGCAGACTTCCCGGAGCGTCGGTGCTTCACATCAGCTATATGTTCCTTCACGCGGGTTTTTATAGATCTCTTTGTTTGACCTATGTAAGAGAGACCACATTCACAATCTAGCTTGTACACACCTGCATCTTGTAGAGGAATATTACATTTGATGGCTGGTAAAAATTGACTAATCTTCTTCAGCGGCTTGTAGTATGTCTTAATGGACGCTCGCTTCAAGATGTAGCCAATCTTGTCCGTGACTCCTCTAACATATGGTAGTAGAGCAGGCGCGCGCTCGACTGTGGCCGGCTTCACTCGTTCACTGTGACGTAGGCGCGGGACCCGAAGCTTGTTGTTTTGCAATACTTGCTTGACGTGCTGAAGCTCCGGCCAGATGCCAGATGTTTTCTGTCACAGATCCCTCGTGCTCTCTGAAACAAAGATTTACCCACGGTAGCTAACTGTGAAGGATGATGGTGAGATTCACCATTTAAATATCGGTTGGTATGGGTCTTTTTCCTATAAACAGTGTGACCAATAGTGTTATCAGGATTTCGGATGACTAAAACATCTAGGAAGGCTAAAGAATTATTTGCCTCTAACTCCATTGTGAATTGTATTTTAGAGTTTATGGAGTTAAGGTGGTCTAAAAATGCAGTTACTTTGTCAAATGGTAAAATTGTGAATGGCTCTCCAGCACCTTAAAAACGGCAGGACCCCAGGCGAGGATGGAATTACAGCGGAGCTTCTGAAAGCGGGTGGAACACCGATACTTGAAGTCCTTCAGAAGCACTTCAATTCCGTCCTCCATGGTGGCACTACTCCGGAGGAGTGGAGCAGAAGTGCGGTGGTCTTATTCTTCAAGAAAGGCGACAACGCTCTCTTGAAGAACTACAGACCGATTTCCCTTGTGAGCCGTGTCTACGTGCTGTTTTCGAGAGTCATTATGAATCGTCTCGCACGCAGACAACGACTTCCAGTCTCCTAAACAAGCCAGTTTCCTAAAAGGCTTCATTACCATAGACCACATACATACCCTGCGGCAGATTGTACAGGAGATCGAAGAGTACAATCTGCCACTTTGCTTAGCGTGGACTATGAGAAAGTCTTTGATTCCGTCGAAATTTGGGCGGTGCTACAGTCTCTTCAGCGGCGCCAAGTTGACTGTCGGTATATGCAAGTGCTGAAGTGTTTGGTCAGTAGGGCTACGATGGCTATCCGAGTACAGAATCAGAGTTCGAAACCTGTCCAACTGCAGAGAGGTGTAAGACAGGGTGACATTATATCCCCGAAACTCTCCACCGTTGCATTGGAAGACGTTTTCAA